GTATCTATGGCGTAGTTCCGATCTATTACTTGATTGTCCATTGATATGTTGATATGCAAGCACAGTGTTGATATGTTGAATTAGTAGTTGATATATATGGATTTATGTATTTTTTGGATATGTTGGTTATTGTATATTGATAAGGGTATTTTTTTGTATGTTTGTATTTTAGTCGTTATGCTGCCGAAATTTGGGTTTAACTTGTGCACTTAAGTTGTTTAGGCTGAATTGAAGAAAGTTTAAGAAGAGTGTACACTTGGTGAAAGTGACGAAAGCACGGCCAACTCATTAGTTTATGAAAGAGTGTTGGGGAAGTGTAAAGGAGTTGGGATTAAACGTGTGGGCGCAAAACAAGGATTAATTCTTGTTTATGTCTTACTTGGATTCATGTTTGTGTGCGACTTAATTTTTTTTCTTTTTCTTATGTACGACTTTATTTTGAGTTTATGTATTTTTTGAATTCATATTTGTGTGTTACCTTAATATTTACTTTTAATGTAAGACTTATATTTTAATGTGTTTTGGTATTTGATGTAATAGCTAATTTTATTTATTGCAATTGATGTACATATTTAATTTTTTATTAGAAAAAAAAAATCTGATTTAAGAAAAAAAAAATAGCAGTTGCAGTTGCGACTAAAAATTGAAATCGTCGCAAAAGAAAAAATATTTATTTTGGGACCAAATATATTTCGACGCAATAACTAGAGATATGCGACGAATTATGGATCCACTATCGTCGCAAATTGACTTTAGTGTATCTACGAAATCAAATATTTTGACGCAAAAAATCTAAATTATTTGCGACGATTATGAATTTAAAGTCGCAATATATTGCGACGAAAAGAGTATGTATCGTCGCAATAGAAAATAAAATGAATATTCTAGGAAAATCTAAATATTGCGACGATTTAACCGTTTCGTCGCATACGAAGCGACGGAAAACAATTTCGTCGCAGTATTTGCGACGAGACACAGAGCAACGATTTTGGACTATCATTGCGACGAATATTTTGCGTCGCAAACATGCAATTTTCGTCGCAAATGAGTCATTTTCGTCGCAAATTTTCGTCGCCAGTGTCGTGTTTTGGCCTAGTGACACTTGGAATTTGGACGGCCGTCCGAATATTTTCCGGGGAAGAACAAAGTCTCTGCAATTGAGACGGCCGTCTGGAATTTTAACTGCAAATCCAGACGGCCGTCCGAGAAGGCGTAGAGGCACAGTAAAAGAATTCTAATTGCACAAGGAAACTGTCTTTTTTCTCCAACTTTTCCACCCTATATAAGACCAATTCAAGCACACAATCGAATCCATTTTTTTACGCAATTTCAAGAGCAACGAAGATGAAGGATTCGAAGACTCCAAGCATAGATTTATCTTCTATAAATTATTTTAATTTTATTTTTACTTTAATCATGAGTAGCTAATTCTTTTATTTCTAGGATTTTCTTTCGAACCCACTTTATGTGCTTTTCTGTTATTATTGATCGCAAGAATCGGAAGATCGGATTAAAAATTAGAACTGTGGAAGAGCCTTTGTGGTATTAACATAGGAATATAGTTAATCTCTTAGGTAGCCATTATTGATATTTATGTTTAATGCTGTGTTCAAGAATTAATTGTGTAGGAATACATTAATTGAATCTAGAGTATTAGAATCGTAATACACGCAGAAAGGGATTACGATTAATTTAGCATCTCAGGTTAGTAATCCGGTTTAATAACTTGCACAATTGAAGGAATTGGGTAATTAGTAATCATATAGGGGATAGAATAAAATCCTAGACTTGCTTTCTCTGATTAATCTTCGTGTTTAATTGCTTCCGTTGCTTTTTATTGTTTAAATTGCTTTAATTGTTTTAGTTAATTTAGTTTATTTCCTCAACTTTCAACTGTGTAGGGTGGTGGGCTTGATAATAAATGGTAGGATTTAACGTCTAGAATTAAGTAATTAAGTATTCTCTGTGGGATCGATACTCGAACTTTTAGTCCATCATATTACTTGTACGATACGTGCACTTACGTGTAGGTATTACCATCAATACGCTCCATGCTTGTTTTGTAGGTAGTATGGTATCGCACTCGCCCTTACTTTCCTTGGTGTCAGGTCGCCATCTATTACGGACTATTACGGACACCCTTCGCCTCAGATACATTCCCCACTCATAAGCATTTCCGAGTAGTCAAACCATGTCAGCGTAGCACTATGTTATTAACAACTATTAATTAGTCAATCAGGTCTACAAGCTAGTAACCGAACAAGCCATTGTTATGATAGTGAAAAACATCTCCACATTAGTATGATATTGTTTACATGGGCCAAGACCAGACCTAAATGGTTTTGCTCTTGCAATTTCCCAAAAAGTATTGAATGATATTTAGTACAATTTCAACCCTTACAATTACAAAATCCACCCAATACAAAAATTGTAACAACAAATCACAAACATAGGATATAATTATCACGTTAATTACATTAGCGATCACGGACAATATAATCAATCCTATCCGATTTAATCAAACTTATCAATATTCCCAAACGAGACTATGGAAGTTTACGCCGTTTACATTGAGGGTATACGTATACCTTATAGTACAAATCTATTAAGAAAATCAAAAGAACAAACATAATTAATCTCTAACAAATTATTAGCAGAGATTCAAAATCGTTACAAAATAATCAAAGACTCCAACCGGTTTTCAAGAATCGGAAGACGACGCAGTGTTTGGATGAATTTTCTTGAACATGAACAACGAGAAACAGCCGCCACCAGAAGCAGAAGCAGCACTACTCCTGCAGCTTTCACAGTAGCTTTCCGCTTTTTCTCGACCAGACGATGATTTCAGCTTTTTTGAACCACGATTGATTTTGTTCATCTTTTCGTTGTGGAGCTTCCTAATCATGTAAGCTTCCGTGAGATAGGCGGTCGACATGGCTTGGCTTTGTTCACTAATGAATCACTATATATCAGGAATAAATAAGTTTATGTTTGAAAGTGCTTATAATAAGTTGTGAAGCTGCAGAAGCTGGATGCTATGTATATATATATACATATATTAGAGCAAGAAAATATATTAATTGGTCCATAATGGATGACGCAACCGGAATTAATATTCTTGGAAGCTGCTTCAGCTTTTCCTTGTTAGGAGTTGTGTTTTGACTACCACTCTTAAGTTGTAGAAAGAAAAGCTTTCATAAGTCAATAATAGTGGAAATGAGGTCTACACTTGCATCACAATAAAAACGTGTTTTTATTTTTTAAATATTTTTCTTTGTATATTATATACTATATAGTGATTTAAAAAAAAATCTATAATAATTCATAAAGGAGTTCTAAAAGGGTTTTGAAACCTGGACCAGACCGGCCGGTTGAACAGCGAACCATTGCCTTATCCGGTCTAGTTTGACCGGTTGAACCGTAATATCGGAATCCAAGTGCAAATCGGGATTTTTTACCCAAAATTTGTGTTTTTTTTTTTAAACATAACTAAATAAAATGGCCAAAACGACGTATTTTTACTGCCCGGCGGTTGGAAAAAAAATAAAATCATAATAATTTTTTTAATTGTAAGACATGTTATTATATATTATAATTTCTTTAATATTTGAAATGATTCCCTGTGATATGTGGGTGTTGATATGTTGTGAATGTAAAAGAAAATAAGTTTGATTTACGTTTCAATTGGAATGAGTAATGAGTTAATGTGGGTGTAATAAAATATGTTTTATTTACTATAAAAATTATGTATAAATAATTATAAAATAAAAAATTAAAAAATCGGTTGGACCCCAGTTATATCAGTCCAATCGTGACCCAGTAGCTTATCCGGATCAATGTCCGATCCGGTTTTCAAAACATTTTCTAATTGAGAATTCAATGTTAAGTCAATTCATTCCGTATCACTGAGTTTACTACTTTGTTAAAAAGCTACTGGCTGCCACTTAATTTAGTTTGATTTACATTTATATTAGGGTTATTACAACCAGAGATATTGTCAAATTACGAAAAAATCCCTCTTGTTTGGGTAATTACAATCATCCCCTCAATTATAAATATTTTTACACGTCCACCCTTGCGACTTCAAATTTAGTGGAATCTTCTAGATTATATGGAATATTCTCAATTTTGTAGCCGTTTTATCCCATTTGAGCTCCACATTTTGAAGCAAAATGATTATAAGGTGTGTTTTTTGACTTGTATATATCAGATTGTAGTGCATCAGAAACTGTATTTTTGTACAAAACGAGTACAAACTAGAGAACATTCACGGAATCTAGATGATTATGTTGAATTTGACACCATAAGGGTGGAGGTGTAAGAAAATTCATAGTTGAGGAGTAGATATAATTATCCAAACAGGAGGGTTTTTTTGTAATTTGACCATATCTCAGGGGTGATTGTAATTTACCCTTAATATTATGATGCGAGACAATCTATGTAGCACGGATGCGGAAACGACAATACGAAAAAAACGGGAAAACGACATGTCCAAAAAATGGGGATACGGGAGCATGTAGAAAATGTGTAAATGTTAAAAGTAAAGGGGCATGTTTATAAATATGCTATATAAACATATATAAGTTTTTATTTATATATAATTTTTTGAAAATTTATCTTCGTACAAATATATTCAAAATAAATTTTACTATCGATTTGCAATTGATTGTTTAATCATGTAATACTTAGAGAAGCAACAAAAATATTTGAAAATTTGTTATTCAAAACACGTTTCTAACTTTTTAGAAATTATAAAACAACCCATAAAATATCCAACAAGTGGTTCTCGAGCGTCGGACACGAAATACGTCCGAAATACGGAAACGTTAATCAACTGAAGTTTCCATGCTACATAGAAGATAATCCAGGTGAAGTTTTATCCAATAAGTGCATATTCCTTTCTAAAATAAAAAAATAAATTAAATAAAAAAGAGAGAAAAACAAAAGGACCTAATCGGCAATTAAAAAACCACTTAGTGAAATCATTTTGATAATAATCGAAAAATTAATAATATAGAAATCCGACTCTGCCCTTTGATCAAATCAGATTGTCTTCTTCTTCAAAAAAAAATCCCCAATTCGTAACTCAGAAAATGAAATTGAAAATGGTAGCCGTTGCCTCCATAGCCAATTCGATGAAGAATCTAAAGCTTCAAAATACAGCTCCACATTTATTCAGATTCCAGAGCATTCGAACCCTCCTTCTCCAGTCAGCAGCTTCCGAGTCTGTCAAATTGCACCAACTCACCGATTCCGATTCTGGTAATTGTTTACACTTTCTGCTGCACTGTGATTTCATCATTTTTATCGTTTAATTTATTGTTCTAGATTCGTCGCCTGTTTTGCGTTTAGGGTTTTAATCTTGTATTGAATTGAGTCTTCATGAAATTGGGAAGTGAAACATAAACATAAATATTTAATCAAATGGCCTACCCGAAAAACTTTGTTTGAGCTTACTTTTCGATTTATCGGAGTTGAATTATTTTTTTGCTTGTAATTAATTAGTCACTGGCGATCAGCTTTCTGTGCAATGAGTTTAGCTGTAATTGCTTCGTTGCGTCGTTATAAATTGCAATTTCTTAGCTTATCATGCGGAGTTTTAACCAATCGGCCATATATTCGAAGAAAATTCTTACTGGGACGAATTTTTAAATTAAAATATTAAGCAATTGATCGATAGTTATACTTCAATGTGACTAACTCTGTTCGGTTGGATACTGAAAATTTCACTAACGCTAACTAGCTTAAATAGAAGTTGCGTGAAGTCAATGAAGATGCAGACAATTGTGTGTGTGTGTGTGAAATATAGCTGGATGAGTTTGAAATTTAGGTTTTTATTTTTATTTTCGGGTTTCTTTTGGAATTTCTTGCCATATGCTTTTGTTTTGCTACCACTTGAACTATGTACTACGTATAGGAATTTTGGAGGTTACTTTGGAGCGGCCTGAGACGAAGAATGCTATCGGAAAGGATATGCTGAGGGGATTGCAGCATACATTTGAAGCTGTTTATAAAGACCATACGGCAAAAGTGTTGATGATCAACAGTTTAGTCCCGAGAGTGTTCTGTGCAGGTGCAGATTTGAAGGTAAGACATTCCTTCGATTATTGGCCCATGCCCTTGTATCGTGGGCCCATGCTATTGTATCGTGAATTTTACAAGATATGAATAGAAGAAGAATTGCATAACTATTGTACCCGTTTAAAGAATATAGTTAATGTTACCTTTCGATCCCGGAGAATTAATCTTAGTCCTGAGATGTATGTTAAGGCCTCGTTTGGTCGGGGAAATTAGCCATGATTAACTAAATAATGGGACTTTGTTTGATGTTTGATGTTTGGTATCCCTAATAACTTGCTGGGTCGACGCGCAAATAATATGTTATCATGCCTTATCTTGCCTTTTAGGCATGTTTTTTATTGGATCTTCCAAGATCCAATAATACAATTTGGTTTCATTAGATTATTTAATTTTGTCTTGGTTAATCTTATCTTGGCAACCAAACGAGGCCTAATAGTTTTGTTGTGCCAAAAGTGAACATTCTTTAAGTTTTATAGATTAAAACTTGTGAAAAATTCAAATGCAAGATCTGCAATTCGTGATATTATTTCCCCCCCTTTAGAAAGCAATCCTACGTAAAACAATAATGATTTTCCGAAGATACAAGGACTCGAGCTAAATGTTGAAACTCACAGATAGATACATGGATATAAAAAATGCAAGTGATCTTTTGCATATCATCCTACTCGAGGCCTCCTCTGTATAACTTTTTTGCCTGTTCGGTCTTATACTATTAAGTTCTATCTGCCAATATTTCGTTTCTTGTTGTCTCACGAAGTTCACTTATGTTTCATCGCTGGTATTTTTCAAAATCTGAACGAGCTATAGGCTACAGCCTACATTCTTATTAAGACGTTATCAGATAAATGTAACTTATATTTATATGCAGTTGCCGTAATGTATTTTTACTGGAGCTTTCTGCATTAATTTCCGTAATGTATATCAGATGTCAATTTAAGAGTTATTATAAACTTGCCCGGTGACGCATCTTTTGGAATAATGACTCGTAGGAAAGGATAACAATGAACCCGTCGGAAGTTCAGAGTTTCGTGAACTCGCTACGCTCCACATTTTCCTATTTGGAGGTTTATACTTATCCTTATCGACATTTTATCCTTAGAGTGAAACTTGTTTCCTCTATGCTTAGATTACTTTGGCTTCTCTCTTCACCTCCTTCATTATCTATTTATTACTACTTCAAATTAAGAAAATAATTTACGATGTTCAGGACCTTCATATTCCTACAATAGCTGTCATCGAAGGCGCGGCATTGGGTGGTGGTCTTGAAATGGCGTTATCATGTGATCTTCGGATATGTGGTCAGTTAATATCTTTGTGCCAAAAGATATAGTGATCTTTAGTCTGCTGCCATGTCGTGTTCCTTTGCTTTATACTTTCAAGATGAATGGCACAGGGGAAGATGCTGTGCTCGGATTACCAGAAACGGGACTTGCTATTATACCTGGGTATGATATATATATATATATATATATATATATATATATATATATATATATGTGTGTGTGTGTGTGTGTGTATATATATATGGAAAATTACAGTTTGCATCCCTCAAGTTTGCACAGATTTCACATTTGGTCCCCATGTTCACAAAAAAACACATTTGGTCCCTCACGTTTCAACTTTCAACAATTTAACAGTTTTGGTCATTTCCGTCAATTTACCGTTAGTCCGTCTATTAAGGCAGTGATGGGCACATACTTGGTTCCGTTAGTTTTAACGGAAAATTGACAGAATGGACTTAAAATGTTGAATTTCTGAAACATTGAGGACCAAATGTGAAATCAGTGCAAATTTGAGGGATGAAAACTGTATTTTTCCCTATATATATACATATATATGTTATATGTATATGCATTAAGTAATTTGTGAAGAAATGCATGTACAGGGCCGGGGGAACACAAAGGCTACCTAGATTGGTGGGAAAGTCGACAGCAAAGGAACTTATATTTACGGGTAGAAAAATTGGTAGTAAGGATGCTTTATCCATGGGTATGTCTAATTAGAGATTTATCAATTTTTTTTAATGTTTTTTTAATATATATCTTCAAATGTCGAATCTCATCGAGTGGTCTGAAATTGTTATTAGCATGCCGCTGCTTTATGCATGCTGAAGATAGGTTTCTTTACAGGACTTGTTAATTACTGTGTGCCAGCTGGCGAGGCTCGCGCGAAAGCTCTTCATATCGCGAGGGATATTAATCAGAAGGTAAACGGTCAACTGCATAAATACATTCTTTCATGCATATGTGATGTTTCCATTTAATTTAATCAAGTCGGCTCCATTCACCTTTGTAGACGCAGGCGTTGGTTCTTCTCTTTCTAGCAAACCTATGTTTAAACGTGAATAAATGTGATAGTGTCTTTTTTTTGCTATTTATATGCATGTAAACGATTTTCTTATTAAAGGGACCTTTGGCAATACGTATGGCTAAACGAGCCATTGATCGAGGGTTGGAGGTAGATATGGCATCAGCTTTAGAATTGGAAGAAGACTGCTACGCGCAGGTCTTACATACGAAGGACCGATTGGAAGGTTTGGAAGCATTTGCGGAAAAGCGAAAGCCTAATTATACAGGCGAATAATTCATTGAAGTTTTGGGTATATATGAAAATGCTCAATTCAATCGAAGAAATCCGCCTAGAACATCAATATCAACATTCGTAGTTGTTCTTCGGATCCGAAAATTAAATAAATACACGGTACCCGCTTTCGTTGTTTGTTGTACACTTTGTTAATTTCGTTTTGGAAATTTACGCATTTTTTGTGCAAGTATATATTGATAGTATGTTTCATATGCGCCGTAATCTTTCCCCCCTTATTGTTTTGTCGTCTCTAATCAAGAAAAAATAACCACACCAAACAACATTATCAAGAAAATGGATATATATAATTAACAAAATATTCAAAGATGCTTTTATTTATCGGTTCGAAAACTCGAAGTACGTTCCTCCAATTCCAAGATGCAAACAATGTTGATGTAATTTCTCTCATGATCAATCAGCCTATGATTCCTGAAACAATTTACCTGTTATAAAGGAGCATGATCAATGATTTCGAGTCGAGAAAATTGGACATTAATTTTTTTAAATTCATAACAACAAATTCATTGATCGATAATCAAATAAATTTTAATTTGTAATATATTTCAAAACCTCAACTCTTATCGGTTTGAGTTTTTCGTTTTTGAGTTATAGTAGCAGTTAATTTCAAATCCATGTCAGATTCGTAAGATCTTTCCGCAAAATTCAAACCGTTTCATCCAAACGCAACTTATATATAACATCCCAATATATTATCAACCATATATCTCTATTGTCCATTTATAGTTATGTAGAAGAATGAATACATATACATATATATAGAAGTAGACTTTGGTAATATTCAATGTCATGAAATTTTAAGAATTTTTCTTTTCAAATTTATCAGCCAGTTAGACCTCAAAAAAGTTTTGATAAAAAAAAAGGATTGAACGACTAACCTTTTGAAGATTCAATGAAATTCCCGTCGTTACAGTGAAGAACAAACATTAAGAATTAACGAACGTCCACGGCTAACATGTGTGCGGTCCCACTCCTCTTTTAATTTGTTCGCACAATTCACAATCATAGGGTTGCAGTCAACGATGCCAACGGTTTGGAAAGATGTACCAAATGTGAGAGGGATCTCTTTTAGCTTGTAGCAATGTTTGATTTGAAGGAACGAAACAACAGGGAGGCACGGATTTGTTGTCACAAACTTCCATTGCACCAAATCAGTGTCTTCGATCTCGAGAAATACTAGACTTTGGAATTCGTCGTCACGAACCTCCCACTTCGGGCCTCGAAAGGCATAGCACTGCAATGTCAGAGAATTAAGATTTGGCAATGAAGAAATCTTTCTCATTTCTTCCCATGGATATCCGAAACTACCCTTCAAAGTTAACGTTGTAAGACTTGATGGGAAGTCTGAAAGAGGAGCAAGTGGGGCAATTACAACATCGGTCTTCAATACATGATTCTCAATCTTACAGACTAGTTCTTCTAGTTCATGGAGATGGGAAATGTGATCAAAGCAGTTCAAGGACTCGGTAGCATCATAAGCTAGTTCGATTATAATCGATAGCCTCTTCAGATTAGGAATTTTTTCAAGAACGACTTTCGTGCAGCTTTGAGGACTCACACCTAAGAGTGTTAAGAGGTTTGGTAGGCCGACCGATCCTTCACAAGGATGTGGTAGGTCTCTCCTCCCGGTATGAAGAGACTTCAACTCTTTCATATTCCATATCTCAATAGGCAGATACGATAGATTCCCACCAAATTTTACAATTCTTAGATGTTGCTCAACAATCAAGTGTTGAAGGTTCCAAAGTTTGGAAATGGAAGTCGGTAAGTTTCCATCATAAGCGAGACTAAGGTATCTTAGTTGAACTAGTTTCAGCACTTCCATTGGGAACTCATAGAATCTGATTCGAGCTTCCAATACCCTGAGCAACCATAAATGTTCCAAACACAGTGGTACCGGATATTGATGATAATAGCCGGTACAGAGGATGGAGCGTACCGTTGATGCTGATGCCATTGAGTTGTGCGCATCCTCGATGGCAAGTAGAATACTATTTCGAATGCTCAATCGACGCTGGTACTTTATACCTTCTTCTGGTAAGGCATCAGCAAGACAAGTTAAGGCATAGAACAACTTGTTCTTGGAAGCTTCTTTGTTACATAGGTACCAAAAGGATGAATGAAGGTAATATCCGCGTGTTTCTATGTTGTACATGATAACATATTTCGTACAAAGCCCAAACAAATAAGAACGAGTACTAAATTTTGTGTTAAGAAATCCTTCAGCACCCCACAAATCGATCAATTGGTATGTATGTACCGCACAATTTTGTGGAAAGGCTCCTATGTAGAGAAAACATGCTTTCAAATGTTGTTCCATGTAGTGGTAGCTTGGATATAGTACCTTTGACATTTGATCATATGCATCTTTGTAAACCGAATTTTGTTTCTCATCAGCTACTTTGTTCCAGTACTCTAAAGTCTTGTCAGCTTTGGAAAGGATGCTGGCAACTGTAACTATTGTAAGAGGAAGACCTTCACAATTCTCTGCAATTTTCTTTCCAGCTTTCTCCAGTTCACGAGAACAAGACATTTCATCAAACACCTTGTGACGAAGAAGATCCCAACTTTCTTTCTTATCAAGAAAGGGTATTCTAAAAGTACTCAAATGGTTAGTAGCACAATGAGCTACTTGTTGTATCCTAGTTGTAAGCAATATTCGACTTCCATTATTATGGTACGGAAATAAGTTCACCAACTCAATACACGGCTTTCTATACCAAACATCATCCAACACGATTAGGTATCTCGAATCCATTAAACTTTCGTGCACCATCCTTTTCAACTCGACTAATAATTCATCTCCCTTCGTAAGCATAATTTCATCAACGGCATCGGCATTCACTTGTGTTAGAATATCTACCAAGACATCCGCTAGTTGATATTTTGGGCCTATGGTCACGAACACACGCGTGGTGTAACGACTCGCAATTAATGGATGTTGATAGAGTTTCTTCGCAAGAGTAGTCTTACCAACGCCCGCCATCCCATAGAGAGACAAAATCATCGCTTCAGATTGTGAGGAATTAAGCCGATCTTTGATTTCTGTAAATAGATCAGATAATCCAACCATGTTGGACTCATCTCCACCTATATCGATTCTCGACTCAACTTCATCTTCTTCTTCTTCATTTTCTTCGGGCGAAGGGTTGCATAACTCATGCATGTAAGCCTTCTTCATCTTGTCCACCGTTTCGATAAAGGAATCGATATCTTGCTTTATTTCTTGCAGGTCTACCGAGAACAACATTAATGGAGGATGGTCGTCGGTCTCTTCTTCAGATTGTGAATGGAACTGATTTGAGAGATGGGGTTCGATTACATCTTCAAATTGGTATACTGCATCTATGATTTCTGCCTCCAATTTTTTCACCATCTTCATGTTAACGGTGTTCATCCTTGTATTGAATTTTTCGAGAGTTTCTTTTAAGGAAAGAATCTCCTCGTACAAAAGATTAGTGATTTGTCGGGATGAATTTTGAACAATCGAAATATGACAAGAATTTAAAAGGCGCTCAATTGTCATCTCAAGACAACAAACAGCACCGTAAGCCATCTTTGAATGCTCTCTCTCTCTCTCTCTCTCTCTCTCTCTCTCTCTCAAAGGAAAGAAAGTGGAAACTCTCTGAATAGTTTCATCCATATATATGTATATTTGTGGATATCCATTGACCAACAGTTTTGTCCCAATTTTTCAAAAATATCCAACTTCTGCCCCCCTCTCTCTCTCTCTCTCTCTCTCTCTCTCTCTCTCTCTCATTTTCTAATAAACAAAAAAAACTAGAGTAAATTCTACTTTCCCCCATGTACTTTGACTCGATATCACTTTACTCCCTTCTACTTTCAATTGCATTGATTTGCCCCCTTATTCTTTGGCTCGATATCACTATAAATTGTGGCTTGCGTTGTGGACTATGTTTTCTCGTTATCTTGAATTTTTTATTATTTTATTTATTTATTTTTATTTTTATTTATTTTTAATTTTTTAATAATTATTTAAACTGAGCGGGGTGACTTTTTAATAATTTTCAGATTTAGATCTGACGTTATTAAGGTCAAATGTCTGAAACTAACGGCGAGGGCCACATTGACAATTTTCTTGTACAATGGGGCAAATCGATGCAAATGAGAGTAGAACTAGAGGTAAAGTAATATCGAACAAAGTACAAGGGGGATGGAATTGAGAGTAGAAGGGATAAAGTAATATCGAACCAAAATATAAAAGGGCAAATCAATGCAGTTTAGAGTATAACGGGGTAAAGTGATATCAGTCAAAATACAAGTGAAAAAGTAGAATTTACCCAAAAAACTATTATACCTATGAAAGAGTTTGGAAAAAGAACAATTGAAAAAGAAAATGTATTCATTGTGGCTTTTTTGATGATTATAGTCATTGGGGCTTAAATGCATATTAAACGAATGAATTAATAATACCATGAAAAGCCAACAATCTTTTACCTCATATGATTCCAATAGCATGCCAAAAGTTATCCAAAAAAAAAAAAAAGAAAATATAAGCATGTGAAAGACCAATTATTATCATTATTATTATTTGTAATAGTATTATTATTATGTGCTCGGGTAAAAACTAGAGAACATTTCGAGGAACCTAGAAAATTATGTTGAATTTAACACTGTAAGGATGGACGTGTAATATGATACATAATTAAGGAGTGATTGTAATTATCCGAACAAAAGATATTTTTTTTTCTTCATAATTTAACCTTATCTCAAGGGGCTGGCCGCAATTTTCCCTAATTATCATATATTGAGAAAAGGGAATAGTGCAACTCATGAAATTGTTAAACCAACTCTAATGCTTCTAGATATTATCAAGGATGTATACTCTAACTAGGTGAATTTGCATTTGAATTTTGAGAAAAATGTAAGTGAATGATTTGGGAATTGGGGTCATATTTAATTTATTTTGATTTTGTGTCTGGTCTTCTACAAAACGAATGTACAAAATGCACTTCACTTCCTATAAATTTTCTATTTTTGCACTTTTCTCCCTAAAATAAAAAAAAAAAATACTCCCCATTTGAAATATTATTTTGGTTACATTTGCCCCATAAGACAATTTCTGGAGGGCATTGTGCTAACAAAATAATATTTTAAATGGGCAATGTGCAAAAATGTAATGCTTTTAGGGGCAACATGCAACAAAAATAGAGTAAACTCCAAAAAGTACCTTTGTGTAATCTCCAAATAGCAAAAAACTCCATGTGATATAACTAGTAAAAAAATCCCTCTGAAATTTAGTCAAAGGCAGAAACCCCCTAGTTAACTTTCATGTGGCTCACTCGCTAGAGGTGAGGCCGGTAGCTGATTTTTGGACGTGAAATGTTGAAATTGTCCATGAAAATGTATTTATATCTATGTATATTATATGTAAGTATATTTTCTTTTTAATTTAATTTTTAGAAATTAAAATATAACTAAAATATTAATAAACAATTAAATTTTAAAAATATAAAAATTTTGGTAATCAAATCTAGTATAGGTTTTTTAAAATACAAAATAAAAATATACATAATAGTTGAATTTAAATTTTGTTTTGATATAGGGATAATTTAAAATATATACAAAAATTATCTGATAATAAAAATAAAAATAAAAGACCCTATTGTATTTTTCTAATTAAGATGTAAAACAATTAAAATATTTATAAAATAATTAAAATATTTATAAAATATAAGAATCTTTTAATTGCAAGACCCCAGAGTTATTTGTGCATTTTTATATCAAGTCCATACTTAAATGAATAATGGGCCGAATGTGTTGTATAAATAATTTCATAGGGTTTTTGTTTAGTTTATTTATCACGGGAGTTTTGCTATTTGGAATCACACATGTGTACTTTTAACAGTTTACTCAACAAAAATAACATTTAAAGGGGGCAACGTACATAAAAAATACTCAATTCCGATGAATAATTCATCGGAGTTTTGCTACTAGGACAGTGTGCAACAAAAACAACATTTTGAAGGGGTACATTTACTTTTTTAAAAATTGAGAAGGTTAAGTGCAAACATTAAAAATTTATAGGGGGTGATGTGCAATTTCCCCAAAACGAAATTAGATAATAATAATAAAGAAAAAGAAAAGAAAATTATGTTTGGAATTCCCTAGTCAAAACCATAGTCTGGATCCCTCATACGGCATACCGACACAACAACCTCAAACCCTAGTCTGCTGGCTTTCCTCATACGGCCGAACTCGTAAATCACAGCCGCCGCCGCCGCCGCCACCGCCGCCGCCACCGCCATCGCCGCCACCGCCACCGCCGCAAATGGAGACCGTCAAGGCTGGAAAAACCACCGATCATCTTCCCAAAGAAATCATGGAAGAAATCTTGTGCAGACTCTCGGTAAAACTTCTCTCGAGATTCAAGTGTGTTTCCCCATCATGGCGTTCATTGATCTCCAGCAAACAATTCATCAAAACCCATCTCCAACGCTCGAAAAAGATCGAATCTTTCGCCGACCAAAGAATCATCTTAGCCTGTAAAGGCAAACTAAAGGCATGTTCTCTGTCCTCCCTGTTGACCGAATCGGTCACTCGTGTCGATTCTTTCGATTTCTTTCCGATGAATAGTTCGAATGATATAGTTATCGTCAGTTCATGCAATGGTTTGATCTGCGTTCTGGTAGACAAATGTCGGTTTTTCTTGTTGAATCCTTCGACACGAGAGTCCAAGGAATTGCCCGACTTCTTTACCGGAGCGATATTCCCGAAGAATCTCGGTTCTATTAGTGCATACGGATTTGGATTCGACGAGAGTAGTGGCGATTACAAGATTTGCGCCGTTTGTTATAGTATGTTAGTGTTTGGTTTGAACGTCACTTTTCCGAGAACCGTAAGAGTGTATAGCTTAAAGGCCGATTCTTGGGGAGTTAGTAGTTTGTTCTATAAACTCGACAAATGTTTGCATGGTGCAGCCAAGTTTATGAGTGGGAAGTTTCACTGGATAAGCGGTTTTTTAACGGATCCGATATGGGAAGTTGTTTGTTTCGATTTGAAGAGTGAGACTTTCGAAACCGTGAAACAACCTAGTTGTATGGAGGGTTATAAACGTCCGAGCTTGGGAGTTCTCGAAGGATGTCTTTGTGTGTTTTCCAACTATTCTCCGACCGATACTATCGACGTCTCGATTTGGAATGAGTATGGGGTCGAAGATTCTTGGGCTAAATACGTCACTATTCCTTATCAATCCGGTACTAATTACGTAGCCCCGTTGTTTGTTTTGCCAACTGGCCGGCGAGGTTCTGTTTACATGCGGATCGGAATTTTTTATTTACAATAAGAGAGATAATTGCGTCAGGCGACAACACACCGTTGACTTTGACCGTGACCGTGATCGTGATCATGAAGCGGAGGTCTACATAGAAAGTTTAGTCTCACTTGTACTTGAGGATTGATGGTGGTGAATATAGGAGGCAAACTTTAATGGTATGATTTGATTAAAAAAAATAAAACAAGAGTAGCATAAAAAGGAGTATATGTAATATGATTAAATGATGTTGTTTAATTTTCTTGGATTTTTCTTTTTCAAAATTCAAATCGTGTTACGAATTGAGAGAGTAGGTGACATGCATGATTCGAACCCTAGTCTTTTACTCCAACAGTAGATGTTATGTACCAACTCGTCGTAATCAGATAATACTAAGATGGTACGTGGTGTTGGCTTTTGAAGTAGTTTTTGTTAGAAGTGTATGATCATATTGCTTTGTTATGAAGTTTTTGTTATCTCATTTATTGGAGTATGATTTCTTGATTTAATGATGATTTATGCAAAATTGTTTCCTCTTAGACATCATATATCAATAAGTTAATGTTTAGTAACATTAGTCATAATTAATTAATTATTTTCTCTTTGATTAGTTTGATAATTTTTCATGTTGACCCAAAATAACAAAACATGAGTAGTTACATCTTTGATTTTATGAATGCATTCTATATGCTTTTAGTGTGGAAGTCAAAACGTAACAGTTTAAGACGGTTTGGTTAATAGTTTATGTATTCAATATGCTCTTTGAGAACTATAAATAGATGTCATTTTAATGGATTTAAGACACACTTGAGAATACAAGAAAGAATAAGAAGAAAATGTTCTATTCTCCTTATGTTTGATTTCCCATATTATTGTTTTGCTTGAGTTTTTTTTAGTAGATTTATAACATGTTATCAGCACGAATTACTCTACCTCATTTTTCGGTAAGGATTTGCATAAAGTTAAAAGCCTGCATGTGGCAGCAGTCCTAAATGTTTGTTGGTTGAATAATTTATATCAAATTCGGTTCTCAAGTGTGTCTTAAGGTAGTTGAGAATTTAAGAAAAGAAAAATGGAAAATAAGGAGTCCGTGAACAATCTGAACAATGGAGACATTTGTTTGGTTGAGAGGGGAACAAAACACACAAATCTTCGAGGTTAAAAGTATTTCTCGAGTTTGGTATTGGTAAAAGCAAATGTTAGTACAATTTCAAAGACTAGCAAACTAGTTGATGGCTCTGAAAGAGCTAATATATTTTGCCCGGTGGAACAATTATTTTGGTTAAAGAGACTTTGCACTCTAATCTATATCTATACTCCTTATAAAAGTATAAATGTTAGGGTAAGTTTCTTCCCCTTTTTGTACTTACAAAAATGCCCTCTAGACAAGTAATGTTTGAAGGACAATTGAGGTGGTGTTTGCAAAAGCTTATTTAAAAGCAGAAGTTAGTGAT